AGAAATACAAGATTTATGAAAAAAAGAAAAAAACCAAAAAGTTTCTATTTCTACAATTCATCATGCTTTAAAAAAATATGGTCTTAAATCATGTATTGCACGTTATAAGCCATTAATTAGTGCTAAGAATAGACTAGAATAGAAAGGCTGGGCAAAAGAACATTTGAATTGGTTAACTCATAAGTGGCGAAATGTAGTATGGTCAGATGAATCCTTTTTTGTACAATTTGATCAAAGTCATAATATACAAGTTTGGCATACCCCAGCTAAAGAGTTTGATGAATCATGTCTTGTTCCTACTGTAGGACATAGTCCTGGTCTTATGTTCTGGGAGTGTTTCTCATAGCATGGGTTAGGACCCATAGTTCCTATTCATAGTACTATAAATGGTAAAGTTTATACTAAACTTATAAAAAGACATGCTATTTCTGCTATATGTCAATTAGTACCTAATGGACAAAGTACAGTAAAAAAAATTCTATAACATTTATAAGTTCCTGAATATTCCAAAACAATTATGAAATAGTCCAAACTTATAGTATAAAAAAAATCCTATTATGTATACATACTGTATATACTGTACTACTGTATAGACTGTACTACTGTACGACTGTATACTAAAAAAATATGAGTATCATATAAATGGCACATCACTAGCTTTGCACATAAAATTTTTTTGTACACAACTAATTTTGGTTCTGAATTTTTTCCTGATAAGGTATCTTTCAGCAAGATAATGTGACTCCTCACAAATATTGGAAAGCTAAGAATGTTTTCAAAAATGTTAATATTCCTATATTAAAATGGCCTGCTCAAAGTCCAGACCTTAATCCGATAGAGAACCTTTGGCAAGAGGTTGAAACATGTTTATGCAGTTCTCCAGACTTACCTACAAGCATTGAGAACTTAGAAATTAAAGTTAAAGCTGCCTGGTATTCGATTCTATCTAAATGTTATCGCAAGTTATCTAATAGTATGATTAGACGAGTAAAAGCATATTATGGTGCTGATGGTGGGCCAATTGATTTCTGAAATGTATTGTAATTGCTAATGCTATGCTACATATATACAAAATATTAGCCTATTTAAAAAAAAAACAAAAAAAAATTGA